AGCTTCTCTTTTCTGTTTCTGTTCTCTCTTCTCCCCCGTAGCAGCTCTCTAGCTCTGGTCTGTTTATTTTTTTCGTATTATTATGGGTAGTGAACGAAACGTTTCGCCGGGAGAGAGGGTGATGTGTGTGGTGTGGTTTGGAGTTTGGACAACGAGCGGCGCATGATAGTAAACCTACACGCTACTTATATATTGGTCTCTCGGGTACTTTGTACGACGGCGTTTTGGGTGAGATTAATTGGGCTATGTTTGTGTATTTGATTCGAGAGGCCGTTAGGGGATTTTGATAGATTAATTGGGCTTTCTGAAGAGGAATATCGCACACGAGATTGTTATGTACGTGGACCTTGGGCCCACGGGAGGTATGGCTACCAGATGCATCACACGTGTTTCTTGTTAATTAATGTTATTGATTGATAATGATACCAATCTAGCATAGACCCTGTCCGTTGGGAAACATAAAATTTATAATATTTGTAGCACATTTATTTAAAAATATTAAAAATTTTACAGGTAATTTGGTAAGTTTATGATAGTTCGATCTAATGTAGACTAATATTCTAACCAAACATGCAATATTTATTAGCTTATGATAATTCGATATTAAACATTATATTTGAACTAACTCTCAACCCAACCAATTAGAATGATTAGTTTATAAGATAAAACCATGAACTTCGACTATATATGAAATTGTTAATATATTATATCATTGCACTGTAGTATTTTTGAATATCCACAAACATACAAAAATAAAATTAATGCAAAAAATTAACAGAAAATTTTGTAAAAAAAAAAGTCTTTTCTTCTTCAATGTACTAAACAAAACTCTGGTTCAAAATCCTAATTTCATAAGCAAAGAATGCATAAAAATTGGAGGAAAAATACTAATTTGTAATTGATATTTAAATAAAAATAATATATATTCTAATTGGCCCATGATTCCACCATGCCCACCGTCTGCGTTTTCCTTTCTTTTTCGGGTCAAACTATAACATCTTAGGCAAATCCCACATCGACAAAGCACTGGAGAGATCCATGGTTTATAAGTAAGAAACCGGGTTTAACTTACAAGAATAATTTTGGGGTGAAATGGAAGAGTTCTTGTGAGAACTCCGAAGTTAAACGTGCCCAGTGTGGAGTACAACAAGGATAGGTGATCTTATGGGAAGTCACCTTGAATTGCACCCCAAGTCCAAAACCGTGAGGGTCGAGGCCCAAACCGGACAATATCTTCGTCGAGAAAAGGTTCAGGATGTTATAAGTGGTATCAGAGCCTCTCTGCGTCCCTCTTGAACGATGGTGGGGCAAACCTCAACAAGGGCGTTTAGTCCCGGGGGTGTATGTAACACCTTAGACAAATCCCACATCGACAAAGTATGGGAGAGATCCATGGTTCATAAGTAAGAAACCGACCTTAACTGACAAGACACGTTTTGGGGTAAAATGAAAGAGTTCTTGCGAGAACTCCGAAGATAAACGTGCTCAGTGTGGAGTATAACAAGGATGGGTGACCTTATGTGAAGTCACTTTCAATTGTACCCCAAGTCCAAAACCGTGAGGGTCGAGGCCCAAAGCGGACAATATCTTCGTCGGGAAAAGGTTCGGGATGTTACACAAACTGTTAAGGAAAGAAAAAAAAATGGAGAGATTAATTTAAACATTTTTTCCCCGAATGTTTGCAACTTCTAAGCGGTTACATACTTACATTTAATAATTTATCATTTTCTTTCCCGAAGGGTTGCTTTTTTTAGGGAATTTGAAAAGAAAATACCAGAAAGTTTGTAATTTAGTGATGCTGACTTGGAAGCCTAATTTTCGTTTATGGCTGATGTGGCAGGATCAAATTCCAAAACCCTTTTAATATTTTTATAGATAGATAGATAGATAGATGATAGATAGATAGATAGATGGATGGATGGATAGATAGTAGAAGAGAAGGAAGAAACGTTTTTTCCCCATGAGTGAAGAGAGTAAATTGGCCGATGCATGGAGTAACCATATTATGTAGCATCCTTTTCGAGGAGGAAGTAGAAATTTTGAAGGGTCAAATTTAGACGGTAGTATAAAATTTATTTATTTTTATTTTAACAAGTATGGTATTGAAAAGGTATATAGGCATAAGTTAACACAACATTTAAGCGTTATTAAATTTTAATCCAACTTCAAAATGGTACTATAATTGAAGAGCATTCGATAGAGGTGGACGACAATCACCTCGCACGATCCTCTCGTTGTCTATATGTAATTAACCATAGATTTTTTTCGTATGAATTGGCTTAGGATAGGGTTCAGTAACCATTGGTTACTGACCTATGAGTAACTAAATCTGGACATTTATATCTAAGTAGGCCCAGAAAATCCAGATCTAAGAGTTGTCAATTAAATACATTTTATTTTCCCTAGTTTTCATAATCGACTCTTATCTTCTTCGTTCTAACTCGGATTTCAATTTTTTTTGCACACATGGAACGAGTTCGTTGTGTTCTACAAAAATGAGATCAATTTTCAATATATTTCGAGAAACTTTTTTTTACCAACTACATACCATATATGGTAACTTCTTCGTTTTTAAGTCGTTTTTGAAAACGTTTGCTCATAAGCAACGAGTTCATCATGATCTATTGGATCTACAAATTTATGGGTGAAAAAAATACTGGACAAAAAATTACGGAAAAAATCCAAAAGTACCACTGTTTAAAAAAAAATCCAAAAATACCACACAACCCCAAAAAATTCCAAAAATACCATCCTTTTTCAAAAACCGCCACCCCACCCTGCGGTTTACACGAAAACCGTTTGTCGGGGGCGCGGTTTTCTATGCAAACCGCGGGCCTAGGGTGCGGTTATAAAAAAAAATTTGGACCAAACCGCTGGGTAGGGTGGGTTTGGCGGTTTTTTTTATAACCACCCCCTAGGCCCGCGGTTTGCATAGAAAACCGCGCCCCCGACAAACGGTTTTCGTGTAAACCGCAGGGTGGGGTGGCGGTTTTTGAAAAAGGGTGGTATTTTTGGAATTTTTTGCGATTGGGTGGTATTTTTGGAATTTTTTTTTAAACAGTGGTACTTTTGGATTTTTTCCAAAAATTACCATACTTTACCACTATGGTATGTGGGTGGTAAATTGTGGTAAACAATGATGAAAATCGTAAATAACAGTTAGTATACTCCTACTATCATGTATTCAACCTTCTTACCATATTGGTATGTTCATACCATCATGGTACGTTTTCTTACCATATGGTATTAAATATGAGCATACCATATGGTAATGACAAGTAAAAAACTATTCAAATTTTTTTGTACTAAAAATATATCAAAGTGGATATCATTTTAAAGAGCACATTTAATCTGATTTATCTCTGCAAAAAAATTAAATTTCGACCTAAAACGAGAGAGAAATCGTCCATTAAAGGAGAAAAGATAAAAGACTTTTCGGGAGAGAGGGCATGCTGATGTTATGCGGATGTGGACATGTTACAAATGGTTACTCACCATATGGGTTACTCTCTTACTGACCTGATCCGCTCCTATATGAATTGGTATTTAATGTATACTTGATATTTCCTTTAAATTCTGTCCACGAATTATTATTGGTCGTATAGATAGTTATGAGTCAGATGATTATTTATCTTATTCATATCTTATGTTGGGAATTCTATGGTGGTAGGAGTTTCATGAAACCATTGTCAAAGTTCTCTTCGACCTCATACGAGGAACCTTCTTTAAAAGCATAAAAGAAAGCTCCACAATAATGATAATCCTATTAGTTTCACAATATTTATCAAATACAAATATTGAGAGTGTGATTCATATCTTCCTATGAATTAATGAGAGAATAAAAATTTGCTGAAAAGTAAATTTTTCATGTAGACAGAATCTATTTATTCGCCGGGACTTTGTATAGAAATTGATTATAAGTAATCAACTAATCGACTGCATGTACCTAATTAATTAGTTGTCTGTCATTCCCACGAGAGATGGAAAACGCTCTCGCTGAAACACCTCTGATGGCTCCGGCACTGACTCCCTCAGGGCGGCCGCCGGACATTGGAGCGGCGATCACTACTCTAACAACGACGGACGGGCCTATAACGACACCTTTGACATCCGATGCATCGCCAATGGTGGTGGAACCCAATTCCTCGGCCATCGACTGTTCTGTTCCTAAGGTAACCACTCAGTCACCAATCTCGTATGCTCGGGCGCTGGCCGGGGCTGAGCAGCAAGGGACGCTGGCTGTTCAAACATGGACACCGGTCGGGGAGAACAATCTTGTTCCCGGGCAGATCAATGGAGAGCCGGCTTTGAGTATCTCTGCTGGCTTCAAAGGTCGGCTATGTGCTCCATGGCAGAAAACTTTGGTAGTTCGTCTGCTAGGCCTGCGCATCAGCTTCACTGCGTTCTGTTCACGATTACGAGGGTTGTGGCGGCCTATGGGGGCAATGGAGATAATGGATTTGGACGACGCCACATATTTGGTGCAATTATCCAACGAGCAGGATTATTTCAAAGCTCTCACGGATGGTCCATGGGTGATTTATGATCATTATCTCGCGGTGCAACAATGGACGCCAAGCTTTGGGATACAGGATCCTCTGCCAAAAACAATGATCGTGTGGATTCAATTACCGGCCCTCAAGGTCCATTTTTACCATCGAGAGGTTCTAACCTCCCTGGGTAACCTCATCGGACGCACAATTAAATTGGATTTTCATACGATGAATCGGCAGCGTAGGAAATTTGCTCGCCTGGCGGTTGAGATCGACATGACAAAAGCTTTGGTTCCCCGGATCTACCTGGATGATCACTGGCAAAAAGTCGAGTATGAGAACCTCCCCGTCGTTTGCTTCGAGTGTGGGAAGGTGGGTCACAGCGCCGAGGGCTGCTCCAAACGCCGTCCGGCGGCCCCATCGGAACAATTACTTCCCGCCGACGAACAGAATTTGGTAACGCCCGGTAACGTTGAGGAGGAGACGAATCCGGGATTCGGGCCCTAGATGCTGGTTTCCAAAAGAAGCCGCCGTAACTCCAGGCATCTCAACAAGAAAGGAAAGCCAGAGCTGGTTTCGGGGAACGGGCCTCAAGGGCCGATTAGTAAAAACGGGAAAGGAGGGATTAAAGCTTCAGAGAAGGAGAAAGAGGATTTCGGGACGGGATCTAAGGCGTCGAAGCAGACGAGGGATCAGGCAGCACCAATTCAGGAAAGGAGAGGAAATCATAATCGGAAAGGGGAGGTGGAGGCGTCTCCTGCGGCCAGAGTTGGTAACAAGGGGAAGGAAGTCGACACAGACCTAAACGACGAGGGCAAAGGAATTTTGGGCTCGGGCCCATCTAAGTCTCCTAACAGGGGTACTGTTTTTAGGCCCAATTCCGAGGCCTGCCACCCCTCTAAGTCTGGGCAATCTGATAGTGAGGTAAAGCTGGCAGCGAGCAGGCCAGATGAGCAGGCTTCTTCTCCGTCCGTGGGCCTGGTTTCCTTAGCGGGCCAAGCCTCAACCTCCTCTGCAGCTCACCTGGTCAAGTCTTTCGTTGGGCCGAATGGAACTAGAATGCAGATAGTGGCTGTGCCGTCATCTCCAAACCGAACCAGACAAGCGGAAGTAAAGTCTCCATCGGCGGGTGAACGAACAAAAACCAAGAAAGGTGCTCGACGGCAATCCAAGAAAGGATCACCAGTGAAGTTCCAGTCCTCCAAGGCTCTGCAAATTTGGTCGCCGGTGAAGGACAGGAAGAGCAAATCCAAGGCTCGGCTGGCGACACTCACTTTGGAGGATATCAACGCCTGGACCTGTGCCGCGGCGGAGAAGGCTGATTGGAGACCAGAACATGACAGGAGCGAGACTAGGCGTTCCGAACAGTGGGCTCCGGCCGGGGACTGGGGTGATTCGGCCGCTCTCCAAGATTAACCCTCCCCGGTGATGTTGCTCCTTTTTGCTCTCCTGCTTCTGTTTTGCTTTTTTATTTTTATTATGTCTATGTTAAATTCAGTCAATATTAATATTCTAGCGTGGAATGTGGGTGGAGCTGGGAGTAAGCGCTTCTCTCGCGCTCTCAAGCTAGTCATTCAGTCGTACAAGCCTGATTTTGTGATTCTTCTTGAACCTCAGATTAGTGGTAATGCGGCGAATGCGGTGTGCGATAAGTTGGGTTTTCCGGATGTGATTCGGGTTGAAGCAGAAGGACGGCAAGGTGGCATTTGGGTCTTTTGGGATGCTCGGCGGTATAATGCTCAAATCATCTCGGCCTGTCCGCAGCACGTCACCATCCGCATTTCCCAGAGTCACATGCCCGATTGGATCCTTACAGCGGTGTATGCCTCTCCTCACCCCTCTCAGCAGCAACCTCTTTGGAGTCGTCTCACCGCTCTGAGTAAAGGCATCAGCATACCCTGGATCCTTACAGGGGATTTTAACGCCATCAGATCCCCGACCGAGAAGTCCGGGGCTGCCTCGATGGCGACTTTCCGGAGATGCCGCATCTTCAACGACAGAATCAATGGGGCGGACCTGGTGGATCTCGGTTACTCCGGCCCAAATTTTACCTGGACTAGGGGGGAGAATTCCGATACCTACAGGGCCAGCAGGATCGACAGGAGCCTTTGCAACATTCAGTGGAATTCCGTCTTTCCAAATACTACTGTCCGCCATCTGCCTCGCCTCAATTCGGATCATAACCCCATCCTTACTTCTTTTGCTTTACAGGGGCAATCTCCTCACTCTTCTCGTTCCTTTAAGTTTGAAGCTGCATGGCTTACTCACAAGGATTTTTTGAATACCATTGCAGGGACTTGGGATTCTACCAGACCCTTGCCGAGCGCTTTGCATTCTCTGAGCATCGCCCTGCAAGATTGGAACAGAGATACCTTTGGGAATGTGCAGCAAAGAAAGAGACGGCTCTTAGGGCGGATTCATGGAGTCGAAAGGCATCTTTCTCGGAGTTTTTCCCCGGGGTTGGCCAAGCTCCATTCTAAGCTGGAGGCCGAGCTTGATTCAGTCTTGGAGCAGGAGGAGCTGATCTGGTATCAAAGATCGAGGGAGCATTGGGTAAAGTTTGGGGAGCGCAATACTAGTTACTTTCACCAGCAAGCCAATATCAGGAGACGGAAGAACAGGATCACCGCCCTTCGGGATCAAACAGGAGTATGGATTGATGAACCTCAGGAGCTGGCGGATATGGTCTTTGAGTTTTATACTAACCTCTACTTGCAGGATAGCTCAGCTTATGAGGATATGATGCCAAAGAATGCTTTCCCCCGGCTTGCTCAAGAGGACCTCCTTGCTTTGCTGAGACCCTTTACCATCATGGACATCCATAAAGCCATTTTCGAGATGAAACCATTTCAGGCTCCCGGGCCAGATGGGTTTCACGCGGCCTTTTATCAACAAGCCTGGAATGTGGTGGGGAAGTCTTTAACAGATATGGCTCTGGCTTTCTTCAATACCGGAGTGTTGCCTGATAAGGTCTCAGAGTCTACTGTAGTGCTCATCCCCAAAGTCGATCATCCTGAGTATGTGACTCAACTGAGGCCCATATCGCTTAACAATGTGAGTCTTAAGGCTATCACCAAGGCGATCACTAGTAGGTTGAAGCTGGTCATGAGGAAGCTCATCTCCCCTCGGCAGAGCAGTTTCATTCCTGGCCGCCAGACCACGGACAATGTCATTGTTGTGCAGGAAGTGCTCCACTCTCTGGGGAAGCGTAAAGGGAAGAAAGGAGGCATGATTCTTAAGATTGACCTTGAGAAAGCCTATGACATGCTCTGGTGGGATTTCCTTCGTGATACCCTGAAGGAAGCGGGTCTCCCCAGCACTTGGATCAGCTGTATCATGTATTGTGTGGAGCAGAATAATATGCGGGTTCTTTGGAATGGCAACCTTTCAGCGACCATCACTCCCACTCGTGGAGTTCGCCAGGGAGACCCTCTTTCCCCTTATCTCTTTGTCTTATGCATGGAACGCTTATCTCACAGGATAGACGCGGTCCTTCACAGTGGGCAATGGAAGGCCATTAGGCTCACTAGGAATGGACCGCCCCTCACTCATCTTTTCTTTGCAGATGACCTTTTGCTCTTCGCCGAAGCAGAGACGAGACAGATCAGAATCATCAAGCAGTGCCTTGACGACTTTTGCTTTAGCTCCGGGCAGCGAGTCAACTACGGCAAGTCCTTGCTGTTTGTGTCGCCAAATGTGAGCAGATCGAAGGCCAACATTTTGAGCGCGAGAGCGGAGATCCCCCTGAAGAATGAGCTTGGCAGATATCTTGGCATACAGGGCATTCATGGCCGGGTGACGGCAAGGAGATATCAGAGCCTACTTCTGTGAATCCAAAAGAAGCTAGCCCCGTGGAAAGCAAAACGTTTGTCTTTGGCTGCTCGCCTCACCGTTTCCAGGTCTATCATTTCCTCTATTCCCACCTATCATATGCATACAGAGTTACTGCCTAAAGGAGTCTGTGCTTCTATTGATCGTATTAACAGGGCTTTCGTATGGGGTGAGGAGGACGGGAAATCCAAGCTCCATCTAGTTGGATGGGAGAAGATGATCTTGCCTAAGGATCAAGGGGGGGCTGGCCTTCGTTCGGTGAGGAATGCCAACCTGGCAATGCTTGCCAAGAGTGGGTGGAGACTCCTCAAAGAAAAAGATGCTCTGTGGACCCAGGTGGTCAGGGATAAATATGGCCGGGGTAAAGAGAACCTGGATCTTTTCCGCTCTCCTCAGGGAAGTTCTTTTACTTGGAGAAGCCTTAACAAGGCTTCTCCCCTCTTAATGAGAGGTTGTGCGTGGAACATCAAGAATGGGAAAACTACTAAATTTTGGCATGACTCTTGGATTGTGCAGGAACCTCTCCTGAACCTTGCGGAAGAGGAGATACCCGACTCGCGAAGGGACGAGGTGGTGGCGGACTTGACCTCAGATGATGGAAGATGGTGCATGGAACGGTTAGAGGGTCTTCTCCCGCCGGAGATACAGATGAAGATTACCAGCGTGGCGGTGGATAAACTCTCCAACGACGAGGATACCCTCTTCTGGGCTTTTTCTTCGAATGGTCGTTTCACCACGAAGACTGCCTACGAGTCCCTCCTTCCTGAAGGGAATGATCCGGATACCAAGTTTTGGAAGATTATTTGGAGCCTTCCGGTCCCGGAGAGAGTTCGCTGTTTTGTCTGGCTTGTGGGACTTGGGAGAATTGCGACTAATGCCCTTCGGTACTCCAGGAAGGTTTCTGATTCTACGGACTGTGAGAGATGTAATGGACAGGCTGAGTCCATCCTTCACATTCTTCGAGACTGTCCCCCGGCTATGTACTTCTGGGTGCGGCAAGTGCCAAGTGCAAGGCAACATGCCTTCTTCTCGGCCAGCACTGCGGATTGGCTGCGGGGGAACCTGGCAGCAGGAGAGATTGAGCATGTGGGAATTCAGTGGCCTGCCTTCTTCAGCATTGCGATTTGGTTGTTGTGGAAGAACAGAAATGACATGTGCTTTAAAGGTATTTCCGCCACCCTCACTCCTCCTTCCTTGACTCACTCGATTGTTGCTAAAGCCAAGCTTTGGAGCGAGGCTTGGCGAGCGCCCTCTTTGTTGCCGTTTGGAAGAAGAGCCGCGGCGGCCCGGATAACGGCTAATATCGCTTGGAGCCCACCTCCTGAGGGTTGGGTGAAGCTTAACATTGATGGTGCGTCTAATGGGAACCCGGGCCCGGCTGGAGCCGGCGGTGTGTTGAGAAATGAGGTTGGGTTTTGGCTCGGTGGTTTTGTTGCCATGGTAGGTGAAGCTTCTGCAGCTTTGGCAGAGCTGTGGGCTTTTCATCATGGCCTGGATGTAGCATGGAATCTTGGGTATCGTCAGCTTGTGGTTGAATCTGACTCGCAATTGGCCATTCAGCTTATCGAGGAAAGACATGATCCCGTTCACCCGTATGCCACTTTACTTGCGGCCATTCGCAGGAAGCTTAGCCGTGACTGGCTGGTGCGCGTTGTTCATGTATACCGGGAGGGGAATAGAGTCGCGGACTGGCTCTCGAAGCACAGTCTCGTCTATCCCTACGGTGTACAGGAGCTTGCACACCCGCCACCAGGGCTCACGACCATTCTTCAGGATGATATTCAGGGAGTTTCTTTTGAGAGGCGGATTGTATCCCGCCATTGTAACTCTCTCTCTCCTCTTACCTCCGTGTAACTCCTCCCTTCTTGGCTGATGCCTCCTGTTATGCAAAAAAAAAAAAAAAAGTAATCAACTAATTAATATGCTGATAATCACCCAATAGTGAGTAGCTGTTAATTTCATAAATTGTTAAGGTATATCCACTCCCGATGCAAAGGGAGTTGCATCGGGAGTGGATAGGGTGCTAGCACCATTAAGTGTTATCACCATACTAACACACTAGCTTTTACCCGATCCGTTGGTCGGACGAATTTTGTTTTATTTTATGGATCAATTTCTTCATACTTTTAAATAATTTGAGATTTTCTAAAATAGTTAATTCATTATTTCAAAGTAATCTTTATGATATTTGTTGATTATGACATTAGTGATAATTAGTTAAAGTATATTTTTTTATCAAGTTGTCCTAGTGTATTGTTGTGTATTTTTTTCATATCTTAGAAGAAATTTGCGAACTTTTTATTGTCATATATGAATTTGGAGTTGGAAGGAAATATATGTCATCTAAAATTGGTAGGAACTGAAGGTACATTAAAAAATCAAGAGAATAACGAAAATATTATGCCTAGAAATCTCAAATATGGAAGAACACGAAAAATAATTCTTACGGTATAAATTAAGATAATTTAGTGTATAGGCTTGTTTGAATAATAAGTGGGGGCTTTTAAGTGTTCAATACTAATGCACGTACAAAAGTTAAGAAAATCCAAACATTATAAAACCTTAAATTTACTCTACCAATACGATCTTTGACTTTTTATGTGGAGTTAATAGCATAAATTGTCACTCTATTATCCATTTTTATCAAATCTATCCATCTACTATTTTTCACATCAAACATGCCCGTGTACTATATAGTATATATGTTTCAACAAATTAAATTCACCCCCATTTTGTGGCTTATCTTCTTCGTTTGCAACTCCCAATAATTAATAGACACAATCTCATCATCCATTTGTGCCTTATCTTCTTCGTCCACAACTCCTAATAATTATGCAACGAAAATATTAAAAAATTTATTTTAGTAGAATGATACTTTTAAATAATCCGATTAGGACCGAAAAAGGAACAGACTTCAAAAGTTGAATAGAATCTCACCAAAATTTACGATACTGTTTTTAGTTTTTTATTGAAGTTTTTAGTTTTATTTTATTTAAAAGGAAGGAGAAATGAATGCATTGTTTATCTACCCCCATGCACTCAATTAGTTGTTGATAAAAGAGTCTATATCTTATTCTTCTCCTTCGATTCTTTTATTCCTAAGCCGACGCTGGAGATCTCCTGTAGATGTACCAAATTGGCAAATTCTTTATCATCAGCCATCTAACTAACCTCCTATCCTTTTATTAGCTCCAAACCTGTGATTTGATGATCTAATTCACAGTCCCCATTCACGAATTCGTGGTGTATCATTTTCATGTTTGCTCTCTAGATCTCTGATGGCATCGCATGAATTCCTTTCTCCCATGAAGAAGCGGGTCATCGTCTTCGAGTCAAAGCTGTTGATTGGGCTATAACTAGTTTTATTTTACTTTATTATTAATTTCATCCCTCTACTATTTTTCATATCAGACATGCCCGCTTACTATATAGTATATACGTTTTAACAAATTAAATGTACCCCCATTTTGTGGTTTATCTTCTCCTTCTGCAACTCTCAATAATTTATAGACACAATCCAATCATCCATATGTTCCACTTTAATTTCTCTTTCTTCGACCCAACAATAAATAAACGCAAAAACTTGTCGGTCATGAAAGAACCTTGAAGTTTCAACCAGTCTCCGATATTCCACAATTATTGATCGATTTGACTCAATCATAAAAATTGGAAACCAAATTTTTTAGAATATCTAGATTTCAAATTATCAAAGGTTGTCAACTCGGTTTAGCCCATTGGTCCGTTCGATTAAGTGGGTTGAGGGTTAATGGTCCAGTCGTTTTAGTTCGCTTTTGCCAGGATATATGAAAAAGTCATTATATTGTTCATATATTTATAAATAATATATAATTTCATCTACATATGGATAATATTCTTCCTCGACCGGACTATCTACAGTTGTTTCTCTATCTTCTACTTTACGCTATCATCTTTTGAGCTCCTAAAAAGGACTCCAACAACATGTATTCATCATGTAATGAAGGTTGTAGACACCACATTTTGTCCGGACAAGCATTCTACTCAAAATCCCAAAGGAAAAAAAGAGTTTTATTATTAGAGTTATTTCACTGTACAACACAAGGATAATGACGCTGAACAAAGGAAGATTTCAAGCTCATTACAATCTCATTAAAAAAAAGAGAGAAACTCATTACAACGAATCAGATTAGCCTATTTTGATTGAGACCTTTAATTGATGTCACCTTCTCTCCTGCCTCTGGGCCCAAACGAGATTAGCAACCTACAAAAAAAAAACAGATCAGTTAGTAGAGGCTCAACGAAAGCTCAAGTACAAGCCTAAACTCAGATTCAAGTCTGGCCCAAGATTAAAGACAGGCTAATTCTAGCCCATAGTTCGGACCCAGATGTGAAGAAACCAAATCGGGCCCAACTCGGCCCAACGAAGTCCATCCCAACCCAACCCAACCTAAAATTGTGTGCCAAGCCTATCTTGTATAGACCCTGATCAGTCAGAACTCAGAACCGACCAAGCAAGGTGGAGGCTATTGGGGCAGCCTCAAAATTCGACCTATCAGAAAGAAACACGGCATTTCAAGTCTTAACAAAGACTAATAGCTAAACAACACGCGGCATGCGATTTAGATATAAGTAGAGCTCTTCAGCTCTTGATTAGGGGGGGGGGGGGGGGGGGGGGGGGGGGGGGAGAAGAAGATACAGAAAATTCTAAAACACTCAATCTGTTTCATTACAGCAAGCTGAGTCCAGGAATCGGATCGGAGCAGCATCAAGTAGGCGTTATTGGAGCCAAAATCTTAATAAGGTTGGTGTTTTGATTTCTGTTTCCATAGTTCTTGGTAAAGTTCATGTCATTTAGCGCAGTTTCTAGATCATTGTACCATTATAATCAGCATCAGTTTGCCTACTTATATTCATGAGATTTACTTTACAAAGGCATTTGTATTCAAGCACTCTATTTACTTAAAAATAAAATCTTCTCATAGCAAGTCCATTTCGGAATTAAGCTTCTCTCAGGTATTTACTTTGCTTATCAATTGATAGTCTATTTTAATTTTCTGCCATGCTTTTATACCATCATTGAGCATGTAGTCTATTTTATACCATCATTGAGCATGTAGTTGATAAACACTAGATCATCATACATAAACAAACTAAATCAAAATCCAGATCTAGGCAACAATAAACACAATAAAATTTCAGATTAACAAACCCTTGCCGGTTTACCAACCAAAAATCATAATCTCAATAAATCACAAGCAGTAGCAGTGATTTAGAGTCCAAAATTTGATATAATCAAGCAATAACAGTAATTTAGTCTATAGTCTAGCAAAATCACTAAAAGTGGCAGTGACTTATAATCGCTAAGATAAGCAATTTAGAGGATGTTAATTACATCTCCATCACAGAAAAATAATTTTTGGCAATTTGTAATATATCAAAATTCCAAGCGGTAGCCCATTTTCGTTACTTTTTTTTAGCAATTTCCGGCACCACCAAAATTCACATCCGCAACCATCCACAAACAAATAAAAAACCAAAATTCCATATAGTCAAACTCACTCACAACCTTATTGTAGTGTAATCCAGCTTCAGTTTTATATCTCATAAATCCAAAATTAAGAGAGTTATAGGAGACCTACCTAGATCTAAATTTTTTACCTGCATCAATACAAGAATAGAAGTCAGAGTCAATTGAAGGGATATTAAATAAAAATAAAAAATATATAACAAAATAAAAAAAAAACCTACCTGTGTCGTCGTCGGCCTGTCGCCGCCGGCAACTCGCCGCCCGAAGCCACCTTCTCCTCGACCAAAACCCTCTCACAAATAAAAACAAAAATAAAATATCAGAATCCTAATTTTGAATCTAAAATCCAACAAAATCCGACATGCAAACAAAATCTTAACCAGGTCTCTTCATCATCCTCGTCGTTTCTACGAAAGAGAGCAGATCGAAGAAGGGGAAGATAGATTCCCATCTCGGCCCTGGGTTTGTTTTTTCCGGAAATAAAAAGAAAACAAAATAGGGATTAGAAACTTGAAACCCTAAAATCATATTTGAACACGGTAGAAATCGCAGAATAAACAAAGAAACGAACCTTCAAACTCGATTTTTATCACCACCGGCGGCGCATGTCGCTGTCATCGTCGTCCTCGTAGCTCGGACGGGGCGATAAGTGACGAGGCGAGAGGTTTATAGGATTGCGGCGGCTTGAGATGGGCTTAGTTTAGGTTTTCAATTTCGGGGTAGGGATGAGAGTGAGAGAAGAGAGAGAGGCGAGATAGAGAGGGAGAGCGGCGGCGGTTAGGGTTTCGCAAGGAGGTAAGAGCGGCGGCGGTATAAGATGATGGGTAGGGTTTTGGTTCTCTGGAGAAAAAGAGAAATGAGAGTAAGAGAGGAGAGAGAGAAGGTTGAGCGGCGGCCGAGCCTTATGCCCGTCTAGGGTTTGTTTGAGAGGTTTATATACCTCGTCTGTCAAACAGACTAGTTTAGTCCTAGGGTTTCTCGTAAATTACCACCCTTGCCACCGTGTTTTTGAGTATTTACCAAACTAACATTTACCCTTCTCTGAAACAATACAAGAAACCCATAAAATATTGTGGTCACATGGTTTCGAACCCTTAACCTCAGATTCGGGTGCACCATATAACTGACGCCTTAGCCAGTTGGACTGCTGGCCCATATTGCAGAAATCTAATCATCCCATCTTATTTCATTACTTTAGTAGTCCTAATACGAAATACGCGGATAGTTAGTTTTGCATCTCTTTTGATACATCGAATTTCTTTTTAATGATTAAAAGTCTTGCTCTAATATTAGTATAACAAAATCTTTAATACGAAAATTACGTTCAGTGGAACGTGGTAAAAGTTAT